CCCGGACTCCTGCCAAGGGTCACCTGACCCGAGGCCGGGGATTGTTCCGGGTAATGGCCGCCCAGGGCCAAACGCTCCGCCCCGCCCGACGCTACCGCGCGCAGGAGCGTAGGGGAGGGGCCCGCTCGCTGCACGTAACGCATCATCTCCAGCCTCCCGCCAATCCAAAGGCTCGAGGCCCGGAGCCTCCTCCCGTGAGGGGACTTCCGGGACGCGCGATGACGCCTTGTAGCGGGCGGGGCCCGAGCCGTCGTCGGTTGTTCTGGCAGCACCCGGGAGTCTAGCGGGGAAGAAAGAGAGTTACGACGGGGGTCGTGAGAACGGACACGCAGGAACTGTCGGCGCTCTGGAAATCTCTGGCCAGGGAACAGTTGCTAAAGGAGAATCCCAAGGGTTTTTGTGACCAACAAACATTCCTAATTTTGCCTTAGTCTTTTTCGCATTCCCCATCCCTCCCACCCAGGCTCGCGGCTGGGTTTTCCTTTCCCATGGCAGACCCAACGACCCCTTGGCCCACCTCTTCCTCTGGTCCCTCTCCAACTCTGAGGCAGATTCTTGGAAAAGTCTGCAAAAGACAGCCTTGGGTCACTCCCAAGAGTTGTCCCCCACCTTAAATAAGGGGTCGCAAGGTTAGAACAAAGTTCCGTGGTTTTTAACGAGTTTGTTTTCTTAACTCAAAACTCACTGCCATTAGGAGTTACGAGTTGCGCTGCTACCTGTAAGGCCACAGTTCAAAACCACCAGGTGCTCCCGCAAAGCTTTGCAGCCTCGGAAACCCGCAGTGGCAGTTCTACTCTGCCCGCAGGATTGCCATGGGTTGATTTCTTTAGTAAAACTTGCAGATAAGGAAACAGTTGAACCTTAGTGTTTGGATTAAGTTCGTTTCAAGGCTCCAGTTCCATCAGTTAGGTACAAAGGATTTCACTTCTAAAACCAACAGATTCTAATAAACTCTGTTAGACAAAGAATGTAATACTCTGCTTCACTGCTCACCTTTCCTGGCCAACCAGATTAACAGCGTGGCATTAGTCACACGCTCTGCCCTTTCCAGTTCACCGTGAAGCAGTTAATTTTAAAACCTCAGATTAGCTTCATTACTAAAAGGCAAGGACTTGGGAATGTACTTCAAAGCCTTTTTATTTCTAGGTCATTAGTTTCATGTAGACTACATCTCCAGACAAAACAACTCAGTCATATTCAACCATTACTAAGAAGTTTTATTATAATTGCTATAATTGCTAAGAAGTGGCGAGAAGAACCCGAAGAGTTTGATTCCAACATACCCTTGGCATTATTTCTGCCCTAAACAATCAGTACCTGAAGGTGACCTTGTTGTAGAGAGGTAAGCTTTGTTGTACTGTCTACATGTTCACCTGATGTACAGAGTAATAATTAGAGGCAGATTACTTCGTATTTCAGGTGCAACACTTGAGAAACCTGGACTAGATTTATATTCGGGGAAAATATAAGAACATCAACTTTAGACTAAAATTTAGAGCTATGCTTAACACTAGAGGCTTCTAAAATCTTTGCTTTAGCTTCAGGCCTGGCTTCCCCTGTGACCATAAAAATGTTCACCCTGTCCCAGATTTTATCCTGGATGAGGCATTTCTTTAAAAATTGGATTGTGACCGCAAACTAAGAACTACAAAGGGTTTTCAAAAAAATCATGGAAAAAAATTGAATTAAAAGAATGGAATTTTTCCATGAACTTTGGAAACTCCCTCATACTATTTATCCTTTGAGTTGAATAAAGCACATTATTGGGGGGAGAAGCACATTATTGAAGACAATGAAACAGATAGTAATATCTGATGGGAGTTATAAATGTTCAGCTGGGATTAAAACCTGCCTCTCAGTTTGTACTACACAGTAGCAGGCAGTCAAATATTAAGTAGCCCTTTCTAGCTTGAAATTGATATAGTACTTAAATTTGATGATGTAGAAAATCTAAAGCCTACTTGTCATGGTGAAAAGAATTCTATTAATCATTTCATTTGTTCAGTTTCATTATCTTTCCCCTAATCCATTGAAGAGTTAGTCAGCCAATGGACTTAAAACATTAGGTTCTATTAAGGAAACTATTCCTTTAACTATAATTACGTTCCTGTGAAAGGTTGTGCATATGAAGAATTGAAACATGGAAGATTGCTATGTAATCTCTCCTCTGAGTTAGGCAACCTAAATTCCAGTCTTCCTCTGTACTCCCAGAGAAATGGTACAGTCATTTAGTGCTTGCCAAAGAGGCTTAGGGAAGTAAATACAATAAAGAAGAGAAGAGTGGCTCAGCACCTGCTTTACATATAACTTTGCCAAGAGCGAGGCCAAGATGGTATGAAGTATGACTATAAAATAACAATTGATTTTCTGGATTCCAGAAAAGTTATTATGGGCTTAATCTTATTGGCATACAGTGACACTGTGTGAGGATATGGTCACTTCTACTTTTATTTACATTACAGCATCTTCAGGTGTTTTTTTAATGAAGCAATACATGTTTATTATAAAATATTTTCCATTGCAAAGATATATATATGTTGTTGTTTTTTTAATCACACTTTCTGTTTAACCCAGTCTTACCCCCTGGAAGTAAGGATTCATAACCTCAGGGTACATCCTTCCAATTTTCTGTGACTTTACCTACCGCATGTCCCATGCATACTGAATTGTAATTTATTTTATTCTAGTACAGTATTTCCCAAAGTGAAACACCACACCGCCCGGGGGCAATGGAACAAAAGCAGATGACTACACTTCATCCTGGATTATGGGCTATAGTACAAAAATATTTAATTGTCAGGAGGGCACTGAGTAATTTTTTTTTTTTCTGAAAGGGAAGCAATAGACCAAATAAGTGTGGGAACCTATGCTGTTGTCTCTCTCAAACAGCTCTTTATATAGTCTATCTTATTCCTTTTAATACCTGTATAGTATTCCATTGTGTAAAATTAGCAAGTATAGAGCAATGCTAACATCATACGATAGCTAAAATTATAAAGTTCATAAAATTCAGCAAGATGCATGGAATTTTGTTCCATAAACTAGAGATTAGCTAATATATATACTCGAGTATAAGCCGACCCAAATATCATCTGAGGCACATAATTTTACCACAAAAAGTACATTAAAAATGTCCCAAAAAAGCTCGGCCTATACACAAGTGTATACAGTACATTCCTTAGGCATCATCTGCGTCTGGCCATTAAGGTGTGTGAAAGTGATTTTCAGTTCTCCAGAGGGTTGGCAAGTCTATAATAGTGACTTGGCCTTCTTTAGTTGTGCTTAATGGACTCAAATCTTAACTCCACATGATTATTAAAGAGAATTAGATGTAGCCCTTTCCAATGAGATTCTAGTAAGTTTTATTTGATGCCTTTTCAAATATTGTATCCTGGAAAACATTAGGCAGATTTTGGGATTCTATTTCTGTCACCAAAGCCTGTTTTAAACTTTAAAATGTTCTCTAGAATATTGAATAGCAACTTTTTTTATTAATTTATTTATTTTTTTACTTTTTTTGAATGGCAACTTTTAAATGCCCATGGTTGGGGAAGGAAGGGGATAAAGAGGAGCTGATATAAAAGCGTTCAAGAAGAAAGAAAATGTTTTGAAAATGATGGTGGCAGTAATTGTACAATTATGCTTGATGTAATTGAATTATGGATTGTTATGATATCTGTAAGAGCTCCCAATAAAAATGTTTTAAATGCCCATGGTAAATGTGTAATATTTCTTAATAATAATAATAAAACTGTTTACCAAAGAAGAACTGGAAGGGGGACTAAGGATCATAGCCTTCAGCCGTCCACCTGTCTCTGACCAAAAAGCCTTGTCTTTTTGTGATTTTGAGTTTTGTTGCACAGTTCAGCCCACTCTCTCCAGGATCCTCTAATGTGAGCCTTGTCAGAGCAGGTAGTGGTAGCTGGACACCGTCTAGTTCTTCCTTTCTAAAGAACAGCTGTTTTGGCATGTAGTTCACAAATCATACAATCATACTAAGAAGAGTTGTACCATCATCACCATAATCAAGTTTAAAACATTTTCTTCCTTCTTGTGCTCATCGTTATTAGCTCCCCACTCCCCCCAACCTTCCCTGCCATACCCACTGGGAACCATTAATCCACTGATGGTGTGCATAGATTTACTTCTCCTGGCTTTCATATATAGAAAAACATTTTTTTAAAAGTAAAACAGAAAAAAACCTCAATTGAAAGAAAGCAGAAAATTTTTAAAATTAGAACAAATTTAAGTAAGTCAAAAGAGAAATCAAGTGATAAGGTATTACAACCTTCCTCTAGTTCCTAAAGGTTTCCTCCCCGCTCCCACTACCATGACTCGAATTC